CCCCAAAACCCCAAAACCCCAAAACCCCAAAACCCCAAAACCCCAAAACCCCTTTTTTCATTTGTTTGTTGAGCGGATTAATAAACCGAAGCAGAGCACCAAATCTTTATGATGGATAGGGAATCACTATTATTATATTCACTAAGATTCATTGGAAGAAAAGAAGAATTCAAGCTTAAAGAAATTATTATAGTTAAGTTAGTTGGGTTTAGAGCCATCACTGGCTTACTCGAACTTTAGATTCTCCCTTAGTATACTAAGAATTTGGTCCTTAGTGTAGCCGAAGTTTGTTTTAGCCTAAAAAGTTAGTGTTTGAGGAGCTTACCCCAATGCCTTGGGTGAGAATGGCATATTTGTCATAGAGTTGAGCTGCCTCATTTTGGTCCTTGATCCCGCCGTAATATCTTTTCTTTCCAAAACCCATGACCATAACCTAAAGGAGAATATTAATATCATTCATAAAGTATAATTTGAGATATGTGCGTGGTTTATTAGCTTACCTGCCATTTTTTGCCGTTGACAGAGACACCTCTGAAGCTAGATCCTCTCTTGCTGCCTGTAGAAATACGTGGGACAGCCTTGATAACCTCTTTTGAAGGGTCAGTAACTTTTTCAAGAGAGGAGAGGATCTCTCGTCTCCTATTTTCAATCAATTTCTGGGGGATCTTGGCCTTGTTTCCAACCTTCCTCTTTGGTTTCTCTTTGAGATCCTTCTTAAGAGAAATCATGTTCTTCTTTATTTGGCATGCAGAAGGAGATATCTGAAGTAAAAGAGTTAGACTTATTGATCTAACAACTACAGAAGATAACAAACACAAAAGATAATCGTTACAGCAGTCCAATGGACTTTCCAATTAAGAATATTAACTTTCATGCACTTCAGAAGAAAATTTAAGAGAAAAAAAAGATAGCTAAAGCTGTTCAGAATGCCTCGATCGCTTCTAGATGCACCCACAATGGGATGCTAGTGCTTTTAGAAGGATTTATTGCTTACCTTTATGTCTCTGATAGAGATGAAGGAGCCAGTAAGTGCTGGTTCTAAGATAGAGTCTCCTTCTGAACCGATTTGACTATTCTCCCTATTAAGCTCCATACATTTAGAGTTGAGAGATCCAGCTGGCATCAAATTATAGAAACTATAGAGAAGTTAGTCTGAGAGGCTTTGGCAAATGTATAAAGCAATGCTTACCTTGAATTTCAGTAAGAACCTTGAGATGTACTGTCATGAGAGCTTCTGGAGACTTTATTCCCTCCAAATACTTTATTTGAAGAGTTAACACCCTCTGCAAAAAGAGGAATGAACTGGCTGAGTCCTTCAAGACAGTAAGGGAAGTCTGACATCATTGAACAAGTGTTCACACCACCAAAAGCGTTGATATATTGCTGAGATTGCATCTTTAGAGTTGAAGTTTTAAAATTTAATATTAATTATTTTTGCTAATGAATCACTCATTATATAGTTTTGCGGTAATGAAGTTTCAAGAGCAATTTTCATATATGGGGTTTTGGGGTTTTGGGGTTTTGGGGTTTTGGGGTTGGGGTTTTGGGGTTTTGGGG